CAACAGAGGCCTTAGTTACTGTCGTGTGGTTTCGGCTCCTTGTAACACTGGATATTTATGGAGCATACTATTTTATCTCAGTTTTTGTGAACAAAGCTTGTTCCATGTGTAATATGTTTTTTTGGTCCAATGTGAAGGATTTCATCAGTGCCGATACGGTTACAAGAACATTTCTGATGTTGAAGGTGTGGTTGCTGGCTATGCAAAAGCTCGGATCCCTCTTGAAGTTATGTGGACAGATATTGATTACATGGATGCATACAAGGACTTCACATTTCATCCTGTTAACTTCCCCCTGGAAAAAATGAAGAAATTTGTCAATACCCTTCATCAAAATGGTCAGAAATATGTGGTCATCTTGGATCCTGGTATGTGATTAACATGAAGAAGCAAAACAATTATCTTCACATGAAATCCTAGAACTTCCATACTTCTTCTAATTGGCTTTAACACAAAAGGAAGAAAGAAATAATGGTTCTGCTACATTCTGTTGAGCCTCCAATTTTCTGCAGGTATCAGTGTGAACTCAACGTATGAAACCTACATCAGAGGAATGCAGGCTGATATTTTCATTAAACGCAATGGCATTCCGTACATGGGTGAAGTGTGGCCTGGAAAGGTCTATTTCCCGGATTTCATAAATCCTGCTGGCCGAGAGTTCTGGGGCAATGAGATAAAAATATTTCGAGAGCTTCTCCCTGTAGACGGTCTCTGGATTGACATGAACGAGATATCGAATTTCATAGATCCAACACCCAGCCCATTTTCTACAGTCGATGATCCACCCTACAGGATTAACAATGCTGGTATTCGACGGCAAATTAACAATAAAACTGTTCCAGCAACATCTCTACACTTTGATGTCATAAAAGAGTACAACGTTCATAACCTTTATGGCCTTTTGGAATCGAAAGCCACCAATGTTGGTCTGATCAATTCAACTGGTAAAAGGCCATTCGTACTTTCTCGATCAACTTTCATTGGCTCTGGGAGGTATACAGCACATTGGACTGGAGATAATGCTGCCACATGGGATGACTTGGCCTATACTATTCCATCAATTCTGAATTTTGGACTGTTTGGGATTCCTATGGTTGGTGCTGACATCTGTGGTTTTTCAGGAAACACAAATGAAGAGCTTTGTCAGCGTTGGATTCAGGTAACTTGTTGCTGTAGTTGGATGTTGACAGACGCTATACTCTTTTTCTGGGTTTAAATTGTTCTGAACTTTTATTACAATGCAGCTAGGTTCCTTTTACCCCTTTGCGAGAGATCATTCATCGATAGACACAACACGGCAGGAGCTTTATCTCTGGGATTCTGTTGCAGCATCAGCTAGGAAGGTGCTTGGCCTTCGATATCAGCTGCTTCCATATTTCTACACACTAATGTATGAGGCTCACATTAAAGGAACCCCAATAGCACGACCTCTTTTCTTTTCATTCCCTCAAGACATCAAAACTTATGAAGTCAACTCACAATTTCTGATCGGTAAAGGTGTAATGGTATCACCAGTATTGAAGTCTGGAGCTACCTCAGTCGATGCATACTTTCCCACGGGAAACTGGTTTGATCTTTTTAACTACTCTAATACGGTTTCTGTAAGTCCAGGAAAGTACATCAAACTTGCTGCACCTGCAGATCATATAAACGTTCATGTTCATGAAGGAAATATTCTGGCCTTGCAAGGAGAAGCCATGACAACAAAAGAAGCTCGAAAAACGGCATTTCATCTATTAGTGGTTCTTAGCAGCACTGGAAACAGCACAGGGGAATTATTCTTAGATGATGGGGAGAGTGTGGAGATGGGAGGGGAGAGAAAGAGTTGGAGTTTAGTAAAATTTCATAGTGAGATAGTAGGAGATATGGCTATGGTTAGATCAAACATCATAAATGGAGAATTTGCTTTCAGTCAAAAGTGGATGGTGAGCAAAGTAACATTCATAGGATTGAAAAAGACTAATGGGATCAAGTGGTATGAGTTGCAAACTTCCAAGGAAACAAGGAGTGGAAATAGAAGGATTAGGGCAAGCCTTAATAACAAAGGAGGTTTTGATGTCTTGGTGATGTCAGGACTTTCTTTGTTCCTTGGAGAGGAGTTCAAGTTGAATGTGAAATTGTAATGATGGACAACCATTGTCTAGCAAAATTTATTAATAAGAATAAATCAACAAGGATTGCAGCAGCTGCGTTTTATATTTTTTATATCAGCCACAGGAAAGAAAGCTAGTAATCATTTGAACAAAGCACCGGCAGAGACCCGCTCATGTTGTTTTGTTGCTTAATAGTAATGGCATGGATATAATTTATCAAGGTGATGGGTTAACTTATAAGGTTATTGGTGGTGTCAATGATTTCTATTTTTTCGCCAGACCGGCACCAGATACGGTGATACAGCAGTATACTGAGCTAATTGGTAGGCTTGCCCCAATGCCTTACTGGTCATTTGGCATGTAGCATTGAGTATACATTTTTGCAGTCTTCTTTTAGACATGCCAGTAGACCTGAGTTGATTTCTTATATCTTCATCGCCGCTTGCTTGACCAAATCTTTTTGTTTTTTCTTTTTTTTGTTTTACCTTCAACGTAAAGGATTTCATCAATGCTGATATGGTTATGCAAGCATTACGGATCTTGATGGTGTGGTTGCTGGCTATGCAAAAGCTGGCATTCCTCTTGAAGTTATTTGCACAGACATTGATTACATGGATGGATACAAGGACTTCACTTTTGATCCTGTTAACTTCTCATGGGAACAAATGAGGAAATTTGGGGAAACCCTTCACCAAAATGGTCAGAAATTTGTGCTTATCTTGGATCTTGACACGCTCAAAGGAAATATCTTCACATGAAAATCCTCTGAACTCTAGCAATCTGCTTATTAGAATAGAGAAAACAGAACATTTCGAAGAATTCTTTTGCTGCTAAAGTGGATTTAATGAGTTGACGCAGCCTGAAATATAAAGGTTAGGATTGAAAGGAAAATCAGAGAGACAAAAAACAAAAAGGCTATGGTAAAAACACCAAAGGATACACAAAAAATATCCCAAAACAGACCCCGACAACGGTTACCCGCCATCTTCCCGCTGGTCTGTCCTGTCAAGGAAGTCCAGAGCCATTAACTCCGTATCTGACAGCTCCTCCTCCAAAATCTCCTTTACTAAGAGTTTAAACTGCATCTAATTCTTCTACAGGTATTTATGTAAACATAACCTATGGAACTTATGATAGAGGAATGGAGGCTGATGCTTCCATTAAACGTGACGGCCGTCCTTACATGGGCTAAGCTTGGCCTGGAGTGCTCAACATCCCGGATTTTCTAAATCCTGCTGGAGTAGAGTTTGGACGAAATGAGATCAAAATGTTTCGAGATAATCTCCCCGTTCATGGTCTCTGGTTTGACATGGATGAGTTGCGAATTTCTTGACTCTCCTTCAACCCCAAATTCTACCCTTAATGAACCTCCATACAAGATTTATAATGGTGGCGGTCAACAACCTATTAATGACAGAACCATTGCAGCAACATCTCTACATTTTGGTAACATTACTGAGTACAATGTTCAAAACCTTCTTGGCTTTTCTCATTCTAAAGCCACCAATGCAGCTCTAGTCCATATAACTGGCAAAAGGCCATTTGTTCTTACTAGATCCTCTTTCGTCGGCTCTGGCAAGTACCCAGCACAATGGAGTGAAGACGATGCTACTAGATGGGAATATTCGGCATACTTTATTCAGTCGATTCTGAATTCCAGACTGTTAGGAATCCTAATGGTTGGTGCTGACATTTGCGGTTTTCTCTCTCTACGATGGATTCAGGTAAACAATTCTTGTTTGAAATTTTCCTTAAACTTGGTGCCCTCAACTCCTTTTCAAGATGCCATTCAAACAAAGGATCAAATCGCTGACAGCCTGATCTCTGGGAGCCTGTTGCTGCATCGGCCAAGAAGGTTATCAGCCTGCGATATCAGCTCCTTTCATACTCTACACCTTAATGTACGAGGCACACACTAAAAGGACCCCCATAGTGTGGCCTCTTTTCTTTTCATTCTCTTGAGGCATCCAAACATGCAAAATCAACTCGCGGTTTCTAATCAGTAAAGGTGTGATGGTATCACCTGTCCTGACATCAGGAGCAGTTTCAGATGATGCCTACTTCCCAACAGGAAACTGGTTTGATCTTTTCATTTATACCAATTCAGTTCACATCGACTCTGAACCTCCTGATCACATAAATGTTTGTGTTCGCAAAGGAAACATCAATTGGTGGTTCTGAGCAGCAGTGGAAACAATACAGGGCAAGTTTGCCTAGGTGATGGGGGGAAGCACAGAGATGGGAGGGAGGAGAGAATAAGTGTTTCGTGAAATTTTCTGGTGGAATTGCAGGGAATAAAGTAGCTGCTGGATCAAATGTCATTAATGGAGAGTTTGCTTCTGAGTAAAAGATGGAATATAGGTAAGGTGACATTCTTAGGATTAGAGAAAACTAAAGGTCAGTTTGTACACTGAACGATTGTTATTGCTATTTTAATTCATTTTGGAGAAATGCTAACAGCTTTTCTATGTTCTTGTGTTTTTAGTCAAGATTTGGTTAATATCATAGAACAGGAAAAACAGATACAATAGGACAAAAATATGTTTAGGTTAGAGAGACAGAAATACATAAATAATTTCATCTGTTAAATGATTTTAAAGTAAATTTATGTATTTTCAAAACCAAAGGACAAGGAAACATGTCTATTCTATCTCAATTACAACCGTTTCTTTCGCTAACGCTATGTAGATGTGTGTGATAAAATGAGTAGGAGCACACTTAAGGCAGCTTCAATGAATTTTAGTGAACACAGACTTGCACTAGATCACACACTACTACCCATTGCCAGAAATGAAATAAGACAGAGCTTGCACAACACCATCGCTGTTTGCAGCCAAGATTTAAAAAATTATATATTAAAAGAAGGCATACACAAACCATAATGACAATGTACCCACCCTGTAGAAATTTTGCAAATTAAACGTAGTTGATGATATCTTCAGGCTAATTTATGAACCAGTACATGAAGATAAGAAAGAATGGAAGACAGACAAAAAGAAAAATGAAATCGTGTTTATGGTACTAGAATACAATTATCTCAAGATTAAGCAATCGAGTGCATCTGAAAACAGCACGTGGAAGAACAACTCGATAGCTAGAACCAGCAGTTCACTATTTCAAACAATTTAAAAATTGTATTATCTGCAAACTCCTACAAAAATTCTGCTTCAAAGACACTTCCTTCTGCAACATTTCAATGTTGATACACATGCTGTCAACTATTTACCTAAAAGCAATCAAAACACCTGAAATGAATTCCAATGATCAGAAACCAGCATACTTTTCCATGCACGGAATCTGGCAAGGAAAATCATTCATTGCAAAAAGAGGATGGCACACCTATCCAGTATCTTGATGGTTTTTCTATGTTCATAGTAATTTGAACTCTTTACCCCCCCCCCCCCAAAAAAAAAAAAAAAAAAAAAAAAAAAAAAAAAAAAAAAAAAAAAAGAAAAAAAAAAAAACGAAAAAAGAATACAAGAAGCAGATAAAAGAGTTTGACAACTCGGAACAGAGAAGTACCTCAAATTTATGCTACAAGGTAACTGTATAAGTTGAGAGCTGGTTCTATCATCCCATATCTTCCATAAAAATCATGTTACAGCCACACTAGAAGAGCAACCAATTTGACACTTGATGATGACATTTTTCAGCCAGATTCAGACCCGAATCTTTGAACCAAAAATTCATCAAGTTGTCCCCAATTTGGGGTACCAGATTCACTCAAGTTACCAGAAGGTAATGATCTGATGCATCCAAGGATAAGTGTGATATCCCGATGAAGCCTGTTATATGGAACACAAATAAAGACAGCTTTACCTCAGGAAGATGATTTTCCACACAGAAGAAGACACCATTTAATACGCAGAATACAACTGGATGCACATGTGAGTAAATAAAAGGCAGTACCTGAACTTTGCTTGCTGACTGCTGATCTCTATCCGTGAGAATGCTTCTGAAATTTCTTTATGAAAGATTGTGACCACTTGCCTGAAAAAATCATCACCAATGCAGGAATAAGCATTTTCTTCAAAATCCAATGGAAAATAAAGTTCTTGGGATTTAATGTTTGCTCGGTTTGTTTTCATGAGAATATATTTTTCATCAAGATATAATGCTCTTTATGCTGTGGAAGCATTTAACATCAAAAACATTCTTAGAAAATAAGTTAAAACTAGATTCATCCATTCTAGAGATGACTTTCTTTGTTTAATCAGGCCACACATTGAAGCCAATTTCAGTTCAAGAAGATTATTAAATAGATAATCTGTCAAGAAAAAAAACACGAAACAGGAAGAGGCAACAAAAACTGCCTCCATATCAACTTCAAGACATTTTACCTCAGGCTTTTTTTCATCATTGGACTATTCATTGCACGACCATGAAATGAAAGTCATACTCTGCATTTTGTAGCATGGAACAGCATAGACACCAAGTATATGCTGAAATTGTAGCAATCAAGTATTATTCACCAAGTTAAATTTAAAACTCACCTGAAAATTGCTTGGATATCTGCTTCATGTAAAGTTCTAGATAAGATACGTTGAAGATAGGTAACCTCCTGCAACAAATTGAACAGCCGATTAAGTCCAACCCTGCTAGGAAAAATTTGATTGAACAACTGTAAAGAGAAAAAAGGCATCTCCCAAATTCTAATATTGTACTGATTATAAAAGGCACTCGAGCTCAAATTTCTTAAAGAAGGCTATTTAGCAGGAATTTTCTAGATTATGTTCTTAACTAAACAAGCAAAGACAAAGTTAACATCGGGGGTGGAACACTTATCCATATCAATATAGGCAGCCACACTAGTTGAGGATTCACAATCAGGAATCAAATTGAGGACTGTTAGCATGCAGTAAATGTTCACCAAGCAACTCTATGCAGTGAAAAGACATGCATATCAACCTGCCATGTCTCCCCACGCTTAAGTCTTCCTCAACTATGTGATCAGAGTAGGTATATTTGGAATTTCCAAATTGCCAATATCTACAGTATGACACAAGTTTTTGGTGTATCAGGCAGTTTCGAAGTTGGAACATTCCAATTTACGATTAGTACCTTTACAAGCGTTAGAGCAAAAGGACTAGGCTGTGAATCGGTATCTACAGGTCTATTCCAGCTCTCAACAATTTGAGGCAGATTACGTAGATGATGCAGCAACCTTTCCCTCATTATCTGAACCAGCTTTGTAAGTATCTCCTCTTGATGAACCTTGTAATCCTGATTTAAGAAACAACCACACTAAGTTCCAAATTACAAGAATCCCCCAAAAAAAGGCATTGAAAGAGCAGTTCCATGAGATCTTCACCCCCATCACCTGCCCCTCTCCAAGAACATGAAGAGCTCTGTGCAGTGGAAGTAACTTGATATGAAAAATCTATATTGAACTTGTTGGGGGGGGGGGGGGGTGTAGAAATACTGTAAGTCAATAGATGAATTCATTGTCATGAAGAAGCTATGTGTTCCTTTGAACCATGATGCTTGAACTCATCATAAATTGCATGCATTATCGAATTTGAAGATTGCAAAAGTTTCTGTCTCATGCACACCATCAATCAGTAGCAACAGCACTAATCAAGTGAAGTTGAACGCATCATAATATTATCTGAAGAAGCAGCTTAAACATACACCTACCTGTGCTACTCGATCAATCTCTGACAACAGTAATACTTTCCGTGCTTCAGGTACTTTAAGGAAAAGAACTCGCCTGATTTCTTTGCTCAGACAGGAAGCACAAAGAAACTTAGAAACTTCAGATAATGAATGAAAAGCTCGCAATAAGAGTGGAAAAAAAGCTGTCTTTAAGACTGTCCACGCACATAACAATTTGGAACAAGAACACTCATTAAATAGCTTAGGTACCAGCATCTCAGTCTATCAACCTACCAGGAATAATGGCATGTACAAAACCGATGACTTGACTAGCAAGGGCCAAGTGCTTAGATGTAATAGACTTCAGACCCGACACCTGCAGCATGGCATAGAACCCACTTAGCAGCTAAATCAGCTCACTTCAAATTGATTGTAAATGAAAGAGTATAAAATAAATTAATGCAAACAGGAAGAGTGAGAGAATAAAATGTGCATGGAATAGTTTGATCACTTAGCACAAAGATAGATAAAGAAATCACTCAAGGCAAGAGGGTGGCGTTTGGGGAATCAGTGGAGCACTTCAAAGCTATCAAGGATGAGATATCAAATAAGTACATTCGATCAAATAAGTACTGTGTCAAAATTAAGAAATTCTCTGACTCAAATCTTTAATATTTCCTTATTTATTACCTGTGTCTAGAGACTGGGATAACTGACAGATGAAAGATCATAAATGCATGCAAGACAAAAAGAGCTTCGTTTGTCTTTATGAAATTAATCAGAAAATGTTGGCAAAAAATTATATTAACCAGAAAATGTAGACCTTTTTCTGAGCATTAGGTTATTAAAATACAACAAATTGTAGAATGCAAATCTGATTTTTACCTGCATGGCACCAGCTCCAAGAATAAGCTGGCAAGTCCTTGTATTGAAGAATTTTAAGATCTCCACGACACGATGAACAACTTCTGAAGATAGTGATGGCAAAAAAGTATTCATATCCATGTACTCTGACAACATCTTCAGCAATATTAAGCCACTGAGAAAGAATAAACACAAATGGCATCAGCAAATTGTTCGCTTCAGAAAGTTCTTTTGATGGTTGAAAAATAAAAATAGTTTGCAAAATGAAAATAACAATACACAGTAAAGAAATCTGTAGATGCTAATCAGTCAAATACACAAGAGAAAGGTAAAGTGTTATCAAGTAATGGAATGCCAAGCCACACTGACAATAACTAATGGCATTAATTATGTATGGGATGCAAGGATTTCTAGAAGAAATAAGGAAGATTTTGTTGAGGAATTCACAACCACATGCAAAAAACTGAAAAAAAAAGGTAAAACAAGAAAACTAACCAGTTTACCATGTGATAACCAACACCTCCACAAGAAAGTGTTTGGGAAGTAGATTTTCCACGCTCCTTCACATTATGATTGTTACTCTGAGCTGATGAAGTTGCAGCTGTGACTTTATTGCTTCCAGTTGCCCCTGTTGAGGGAGTAGATTTCTTTTGCACAGAATTTTCCAAAGATATATCTGTAGAGTTCATTTGCACAAGTTCTTGTTCAGCATTTTGTGCTTCAGCATCAATCACAAGTGAACCATCACTGCCTGTGCCCGCTTCACCATATCTGGTTGTCACATCACCTTGAGTATCATTTAGGCCCTCACATTCAGAATAAAACAATGAAGCAACAATGGCCTGAAATTCATCAGGGACATCTACTTCCACCCACATCTCCTGATCGAGCACTGCCCTAATTTTTGTCATCTACATCCATCAAGGTAAAGGTTAGCCTGAAAACAAATTGCAAAGGTCTCACAAAAAACAAAGACCTAAATAAAGGGGAAGTTGGAAAAGGAAACTAACTCGCATTTCATGCTGGAAATCAACAAAAGCTTTAGCCTGTGATTGCATTGTTCCACGAATGCTATAACCCAACCTTCCACCAATCTGTTTATGTTAGCATACAAACAGCATCACAGACACGAACAGCAAATTGTTTTCATTATATAGAAAACTAAATAGCTGAATACCTTTTCAGTGGCAGTTATAAAATCTTGGGTGATGTTGTATATGCTTAAAAACTCCACCAATCTCAACTTCGGATGAAGAAGAGCACGGACACCAAGAAGCTTTGCCCATCTTCCATGAGCAGCATCACAAGCAGCAAAGACAGCTTCTGCATTCTCTCTCAATACATCGGCTCTGTAAAAGATTGTAACTTTCAGAAAACTACAAAGATTCAACAAATTTTTATTGCAAATAAAAATGAATCAACACCAATAATTTGGGGATGGAAACTGGAAAACCCAACTGAAGGTTCAACATTCCCTTCTTTGCCAGTCTTATTTCAGCAGCCACTGCTCTAACATCAAATGGCTAGATGGGATTTGAAGGTGGCCAAAATCCCAGCCTATAAGAGAAGTGGCAGCCAGGCAGTGGCTGAGTAACAAGGGCAACTTGAAAAACCCATCACTGCAACAGAGATCCCAGCCTATAAGAGAAGTGGCAGCCAGGCAGTGGCTGAGTAACAAGGGCAACTTGAAAAACCCATCACTGCAACAGAGCTTCTGATCATCATTAGCATTTTGGAGAGTACCTCCAAACATGGAAGCATTCCCAACCTTCTTCAAGTGTATTGATAATTCTTTTTTTTACAGCACTCTAAACTGGAAAGTTACTTGATGCCCAGTTCAGTTCAAGTTGTATGAGAGGGGTACCAAATAAATTCATGCTCAACTATACCATTCCATAATAGATTAGGGTGAAGGAAAAACATAACTAATCCTGTTAAAATCTCTTTGGTTTTCATTATATGGAATTTCATAACAGTTTTTTAATCTTTTCTTTGCCAAGATTTTACTCTTTAACTAAAATGAAGAAGATGGCACCCTTTATTATGAGAAGTTGTTATACACAAATAGCACGAAACATAGCTCTTGAACTCAGATCCTTAAATAGAAACGACCCACAAATTTCCATAAAGATAAATTATAATTATAACAGATCTGATCACAGGAAAATATCATGAAAGAACTCATAAAATAAATAACAATAACGTTGTACAAAATTATAAGCCGAGCCATTATTTATGTTGTGTAGTGATTCGTGCAACATTGCTTTTTTATATAGTGTTACTCTCACTTAAAAGCTGAACATCATTCAGGCGGAGCCATTATTTATGTTGTGTAGTGATTCGTGCAACATTGCTTTTTTATATAGTGTTACTCTCACTTGAAAGCTGAACATCATTCAAATAATATTGTAAAACTATCACAACAAAGGGACAAGAGTTCACCTAAAATTTCTTGAAATATTTGAGGGACTTGCTGCATCATTTGCTTTCAGCTGAGATGAAGCAAACTTGGAAGTACTTCTCTGTGGAGAAAAGGGGAGAAGAGAACCACCTAGACCATCACTCTCATGAGCTGTTTCAGCAGCTGCTGCACCAACAGCAATTGCAGCAGCAACTGAATCAGCAGCATAGTGTCCGTCAACGCTACACATAATCCACTCAATTGCCTTTTTCACTTCAGCAGCCCGCACTAAGTGTGCCTGCATTCACTAAAAGAAAATAAATCATATTACTTCTTACTTAAAAGGCACATAATGAGAGAGAAAAATAGAAAATTGAATCAAGCTATGAAATCATGTCTATGATAATCATGAAGTCAAAATTCAAAACAAGTTCACCATAAGCATAATTAGAAATTAGCAACCTAAGTATGAGATTTTATAAATATATATAAAAAACAATACTGAAGAATTAACCCCAAACCAAGGAAAGAGGGTGAAAAAAGATAGAAGAATGCAAATTGGATTACATCATACTGTTAGAACTTCAAAGTACTGGCTTAAGCGACGTGTAACAGTTTCTTGAAAAGTGGTTCCCTTGGTCTTACAAATAGACTACCTCTAAAAATGGGCTAAAGACCCCATAATTTTGCAACCAGTCCATCCATCCGATCAACCTTGGACCATTGGACAGGCTAAGGTGCAGGGTAGACTACTATCTACTACAAACATGAATTCTGACCTGGGTATTCCATGCTAGTTCATGTGCCATGATTATATGAATCATTCATTAAAATTATCAATCAAATCACAAGCAGGTTTAGTAGACAAGCACGCTCAGCTCTATGATTACACAGTTTAAGCAAACTCAACACTTCAGTTTGAGTCCATAAGATAGATTCCTCATTATAATGTACAGCTTGTAAAACACAAACTCTTTTGAGCAAGGTCTAATCCAGCAACCATGCCCCCACAAAAAAATTAGATTTTGGTGGCAACAATCCACCTTCATTACATTCAGTTGGCCAGTATATCTCGGAATTAAAGTAAAAAATCACATCTAGTACATCATCAAGAACTTTAGAAACTATGTATTGAGGAAGATACTTGTGAAGTATACATTACCTGTACAATGTTGAAAATAGCATTTAAAAGTAGCACAAAATTTTCGGATGACAAGCTCCTTAACTTGCTTGCAAGTGATAAACCTCCACCTGAGTCACTCAGAAATGTTAAAAAAGGAGAGAGAAAGGGGCAGAAACAGATACCAAGTAACTTGTCTGCAATCAAAAGTGCATCTTCAAGAAAATAGACAAGTTACTTCTGAATTAATAACCTCAGGGGGGGGAGTGTTAAAATCTAGTATTATGTACTTACCATCTGTATCTGCTGTTCGCTCTGCAGGTGTGAGATCTGACTCCAGAGATTGGGCTGAAAAGGTAGGAAGCAGCTCTGCAACTGCATTCTTAATGGTGGTTTTCATACTGGCTGTAAGGGTATCTCGGTATATTCTCAACACAGGGGGGAGCTTGGCCTGAAAGAAATCATTGAAACAATGAGTCCAGTGCTAAACTAAGCACAATCAACTAGTTCCCCATAATCATTACTGATAAGCTCAAATTGCGGTACTAATAACAACTAACATCTTACAAACATGCTGAAGGATGGAACCATCTCCAACAGTCCCTACCAGGATCTGACTTCAGTATGACCATAACTTGGAAGAGTCTTATTGGATACAACTAGAACCAGAAATTTATCCTACCCAAACTGGAAACAATATTTGATTTCTGGAATTTGAACTTACGAACTCTCTTTGCCCAAACAGTTCTTTCCTGTTTCTCTCAGTTAAGCAAGCCTTTCTATCAATGTGAATATCTTAAAATTTACTCATGTTGGGTAATTCATATAAAATCCTAAAACAAGAACCCAGATATGGAACCAAGGAGTAAATATGAACAGCAAGAGGAAAATTATATAAGTGTTTAACAGCAACAAACAACAGAAGAAGTTGTAACAAAGGCAGGTTAGAATAAAAACAAGGGGCAACTGCATCGAGTTCATGAGCCAACTCTTCAAACAAAATATTGTGAGGGGAAAAATTTAACTTCAGAGACAGCATTTCCATGAAATAAAACTCACAGTTCTAAGTAACCCAACAATGAGAGGAAGAAGACGATCTCGAAAATTGGACATCTCTTCATCATCCAACTTAACCTGCTAAACATGACAAAGAACAGCAGGCATTGCTGACCAAAATTCAATAAAGAACATAAACTAAAATAGATATACTATTCACTAGAAAGTCTGCAGAAGAACAGCTAGAAAAAATTTATTAGGCAAATCACAAGCATTAGTGAGATGGGATACACGGACATCAAGTGCAAAACCAACAACAGCCACTTATTTCCAACTTTATATGCTTGATAGTAATAGAAATCACGAAAAAGACAAATATCATAAGAATAAGCACAATGACAGGTCGAGCTTAAATGTGCTGGAGTGAGAATCTTAAGTTAAGACGTAGTTCATGACTCAAGGCCATGATAGACTAAATAATTTACATGCTGTATTAAACGTCTTAAAATGACATGAAATTCAAATGGATGCTTTCATGTCTACAAGTATAATCATACTAAAGTACCAAAAAAACCACATGTTCTTGGATAAGTGAAATTAAGCTTACTTCTTCATCTATTCCATTCATATATATGGAATCCCTGACTTTTGCTTTGGATAAAAGAAGCAAATCTTTATCCCCAGCACCATGTATTGAAGCTCGCATAAATTCTGCTGAAAGGATGCTACAAAAACAAATGTAATAAGTTACAAAAGACCAACAAAATGGCATACATTCCCTCTCTAAATTAAATGATATGACATTTTGTTTTGCATTAAGTAACAAGCAGCACACTTCTCACAGTTAACTACTTGACCTGATAGCTGGCAAAATTGCAAATACAAATAAAAGAACAAGACATCATACACAGAGCACTAGGACCAGCCAATCTTAATAAACCTAAGGCAAACCATAAAATCCCATAAGCAGAAGCCAAGCAAGATAAAAGCTTATTAATAGCCATTGCTGTAATCCACCCCCTCCCCCTTAACACTGCCCATCATTTGGAAACCTCATCAGGAAACTCTAGCTCAATCAATCATAAGTCTTCTTCCAACTTAAGAACAACCCTTCTGCCTCTACTCCTGACATTCCCCACTACCAAATTTGACCCCAAAACCATATCATCTATGGAAAGATGCAGTCATTTTGACAAATATGAAGAGCATAAAGTGATAAATAGCAAAACCAATGCAAATGGCAGGTCACATTGGCAAATAACTGATGCAGTCATATTTTCAGAAGAACAAAAAAGGATACCTGTTTATGGACTCTATTGCAGCTGCCACATGATCCCGAAGGTGACGAAAACAATGCAGACCAGTCAGCTCATCTCCATCCTATCAAAGACAGAAAACATAAGATTTCAAGCAAAACAATATGCATGTAACTCAATCAAACTTCTCATTACATCCATAAATCAAAATATACCAAGAACTGCTGCAAATCATCAGTAACATCCAATGCTCCAGCACAATCTGCAGATGCAACAAGCTGTATACCACAAAAATTAACTTCCATTACAAATCATCAAGAAAACCGAAGAGCAACACTTCTATAACATATTTTTCATAACAAACCTATCTATGAATAGGCCCATCATTCCCTCTCAAATTTCGAATTAATCAAACAATAAGCAATGCTAATTACCGATTAAAGCACCAAAAGAGCCTGATTAACCTAATTTAGGGTCATACATTAATTCCTATCAGTCACTTCTAACTTCACTCGATAAAGAAAACAACAATCGAGCAAATACACTAACAAATTCAACTTAAATCCAACTAAAATAAACAAAAGGGCACACAAGAATTACCAATTTAAGCGTGGAGAGAGCCTGATTAACATACAAAATAAGCCTCAACTTATTCTGCAAAGAAACCAAATCCCCTCTACTAACATTCAGTTCATGAATCTCCCTCGCAGACTCCACCAAATCCTTATCCAAAACCCTAATAGTCTCCTTCAACTCCCTGATCCTCTCACACCCTTCCACAATCTTCCCATTCAAATCCTCCAACTGCCCTTGCGCCTCGAAAAACGAATTCGACCGCAACGATATCTCCTTCACCAAATGCAACTCCACCACATCCAAATACTGACTCAACTTCTCCTGCAACATCAAATTCGCCGCCGCATTGCTAAACGGACACGCGGCATGAAAGGTGGGCCCGTCTTCCAACGCAAAATCCTCTTTAAAATACAGTGCCGGAACTTCCCTCAAACAAGCAACCAGCGCCTCCCCTTGCCCTACAGCAGCCAAATCCGAATTGGACTCCGCATCCGCCAAATCCGACTTCGATTCTTGATCAAGGTCGTTATTTTTAGTGTGGTTTTTGATGTCTTCGAAGCGGGAGTAGGTGTCGGAGACAGCTGATAAGTAGGGGAGGAAATCCGATCGGGAAACATCAGGTGGCGGTTGTTTGGGGAGTATGGGGGAGAAATCAGGAGGAGCTAGAGTGGTGGAGGAGGACCACCAGCCGAGCCAGGCGGAGGGATCGGTGGATTTGAAGGAGTGAGGGTTGTTGAGGATGGAGGAGAGATTTTGGATATTTGTGGTATCAGATAGTGATTTTTTGAGAGGGGAATTGGAATTGAAGGAAGGAAGAGAATCCATGGCTTTGCTAGCAGTGTATCTAGGGATTTAAGAATCTGATGGAAGGCATGAAAAAGGACGAAATTGAATACAATTGAATTCCAGAGGGTTGGATCTAGAGAGAAACGAGTATTTAGGATCTGAAGTGAAGGAAAGGAATTTACAGAGGGAGAGGAGGGAGGGAGGGAGGGAAAGGGGAGGGGGGGGGGG